GCCTTCTCACATGGACACCTCATTTTTTAGACAAAAAACGGCAGTCCACCTATACCTACTGAAATGGCACATCTAAAGAATCACTACCTAGGATGCCTGGGGGTCTGACACCCTCTAAAAAATCACTACTGGTACCCTGGCAACCAGCTACAAAGAAAAATGCAAATACAAAAGAAATTCTCTAAAGAATCAGGAGGTCTGTACTAGCCACGTGGAAGTCAACCTCACATAAACACCAAGTGTTTGTTTTGCACACCGCAGTTGCCAGTTGTTTGTCTTTTTCACCCCTGGCCCTGCCAGATTAAAGTTTCTGTTTTTGTCAACGATTCCAAAAGCATGTCAATTGCCCCTCAAAATGCCTTCTCCACAAAATTATGACCGGCGATGCCCCTATCAAAAAACGTAGAGTCCGGCTTAGCCATGTGGCAAAAACCACGTTTCTACCTGTAAAAAAATGTCTTTAGGGACAACCTGGGCTGCATGGTTCTTTGGAGGAAATTCCCAGGGGGATCGATAAAGTATCCATATGTGCCACTGACATCTGACAACCAGCACCGGATCCATCTCTTACTTCCATGCCCTAGGGCCCTAGCACATGAAGTGTATGAAGTGTGTAGCAAAACAGAATTCAACGAGATCAGAGTGGTGCAAATTGGCAAAGCAAGCGCTAGACACGGCGGTCCTCATCAAGACCTTGAAACTGACCCGACGTAATGTGACTGTCTGCGTCGCAGACATATGGACCTTCAAAGAGCAGAATGGGAGGCGGCGCGAAGATGTTGTAAGTGGAAGGAGGAGCATCAGGCACGAGGCCGCGTGCTGCTTCTGAAACGGGCAATACTTCCCTATGCTCTCGTCCAAAGCATTCACAGGCACTCAAACCTTGCAAAAATTGGGGACATGAAGGCAGCATGAATGCACGTTGTGGTCAGAGGCACGCTTAACTGATGCACTTCTCTGAAAGTGCCAAACAAGAAGTTCATGCTTCTAATTACTGTGCACTAACGCCAGACTTTTCTGACAGGAAACTATATAGCCCGGTATCCTCCAGAGTACCCAGGAGGTAAACTGGCTCTGATGGTTGTTCCTCTGCATCGTCTTGGTCTCGTGCCTGTCATCGCCAGAAACTAAGACCCGTCATGGCCCCTCGTCACTGGGAAACCTTCCATGATTTTTCCAGACAAAAAATGCATGAACCTTTTCCTCGTCACTATGTGAAACCAGAAATGCTGACCAGCACCTAGAGGTCTCATGAATGCGCATGCATCAAAACTGCATAAACCACTTCGATTCATCCTTGTCCCGTTACCCGTTCGGAAGGAAAAGTTCCGGGTTAGAAGCAAAACGGGTCGAAATGAGCAATTTCAAGCAGCCAGCACAGAGCCGTGAAATTCCGATGAGGCAGCATGACCCTCGGTCGGGAATACGATCTTCAAGCATCTTGCATCAGCATCAAACAATAGGTTTGTCTGAAAATAGACTCACTAAAATTGTCATGTTAGGGTATCCCCAGTATCTGCCATTTCCGCACAACCCTCAAATATGATCTTCTCGGACCCACAGCAGCCATGGGATCACTTACCCTTCATGGTCTTGGTGGGCTCATGGTCTGTAGCCAAACAGAGATGAAAAGACAAACAAGCTCTCTACAATGGGAATGACTCGGAAGGACTCTTCAGGATTCTTCAGGATCTTGGGTAAAGGGAATCAGGGGCCACAGCCCTGGTACCGTGTCACTGGCAGCTGTCTCATCGAAAGGCAGAGAACAGGCCTGCAGCCCAGCTTCACCGGCCATGGAATGTCTTCAAGTCTGGTTGGTAGGTTTGATCCCTTGAAAATATGTGTCAAATGGATTCAAATGGGATCATCCCAGTAGGATGGATAAAAACATTTCACACCACAAACCAGAGTTCGTAAGCGCAGCACAATTTCAGAATAGTTTTCGATCTGTGCAAATGCAGTTCCCGGCCCAACCCCAGCCTCTGCTGTCAGTGAAGCTGAAATCTTCAGCAGGCTTGCATCGTTTCTTACCTGTGGCTGATGCGCCCGAATTGTTGAGCTACTAGCGTATGAAGGGCGATACCGTTGCATGCGAGTCATTTGGACAAAGGCATCCAGCTAGGGGCCAGCGCACTGAACCCATTTTGCTGTTCAATCAAGATGATCATCAATTTGGACAGATCACCATGACTACCACAAGTGCATGTGCCACATGTGGCCAAACTAAGCCGAGGATCTTTGTCAGAGGCATATCTTGGAGCATTTGTGAGGCTGTCTTTCAACCTTAGCCCAGCAGGACAGCCTGGAGTCAACTGCTTTAAACCGCACGCCCTTTTTCCTTGAAGCCCTACCTGACCTTCAAAACGGGAGGCATTGATTTGATAGGAGGCTAAAGTATTAAACTTATAAAACTTTAATTTGTCATCACCGCCATAGATGATTTATTCGCCAAGCAACCACACAGTGGTTTCGTTGAGTCCATCGATGAAAGCGTTTCCGATGAAGTCCTTTTCGAAGCAAGCGATCACTTCGCCCCGCAGCTCAGCTTCGCCGGTGTCAGTGTTCACAAAATCCGTGGTGTTGTACCTGCGCACCACCCAAACACCATACCGGCCTGGAAGGGGGCAAGCTTCCATGCTCAGCAGCAGTTCATCCTCCACGGTTTGACCTTGTCGAGAGTACACCCTGCTCAATTCCTCTTCGCAATTCCAGACAGTCAGCAGTGTGCCTGTAACCTTGAGATCACAGGCATCAAATGTGCTGATGCTTGAAGTAATGTTGAAACTTGCATCTGCGGCAGCGTAACCCAAGTAGATGCCCTCAAAATAGGAGTTTACATCTTGATTCAAGGTCACCGCGGTGCTTGAAATGTTGGCAACCAAGACATCACTTGGAAGAGGCGTAAAGTTTGCCCACCCTGACATGGAGTCGTATTCCCAGCTGCTGCTAGAGCTCACCCAGCGCACCCGCAAGAAATGTGGAGCCTGGCCAGCCGGAACCATGCCCGAGAAGCGGGAAAAGATTGGCGAAAGGGAAAACATCACAAAGGACAACGGCGAGACGGTGGTGACAGTTGAGCTGCAGTTCAGAGTTCCCGAGTCTCCGATGGGCTGTGAGCAAATCCCTCTGGAAGACTTGATGCCCCTCGGGCAAAACTCTTCTTCAAGCAGCTGCACTTCATTTGATTCCACCAAGTCCACACAAGATGTCTCCTCATCGCACAAGCCCCTGATGTAGATGAAAGCTGGCCCAGGGCTGGATAGGATTTGAATATCAACGGTGGGAGTGGAGCTGGTGCTGCTGGTCTGGATGAAGCATCCAGCAGTCTCCAAAGCATAGGCACCACAATCGTCTTTCTTCCGGCATTCCACTTGACATTGGTCCTGTGTTATGTTTCCCTTATTCTGGCCTTGGAATGCAAGGCCCCAATCCTTTTTGAAGAAGCATGTGTCATCTTCGATGCGGACATTGAATTTGGTGGTGAGCACCGTGTCATAGCTCTCACCTGTACCTGCCACAAAGCACGTGATCTGCAAGAAGGATTTTCCAAGGCGCTGAGGAACCTCAATAAGTGGCACCCCATAAATCTGCCCCGTGGTGGGATCCAGGATCAAAACATCTTGTCCTTGCAGCGTGAGTTGGCCGGTGCTGCGCGACCATTTGAATCCACTGGCGCCTTCACATCTCACATCCACGATTTCCTGAGGCATCGGCTCAAAAAAGGCGTAAAAACCTGGGACAAACTGGGACGGTGACCGGGACTTCATGACAAGCTGGGGTGATGAGTAATGCTACAAGACTTATCACGATATCATCCAAGCTGCGGGACGTTCACCAGGTGGTATCTTCACAATGCTGGAAGTGTCTTCATGGAACCATAGCTCTGTGTCGTCTTCCACATTGGTCCCCAAGTCCTGCAAGGGTTGCAAGCATCTACACCTATGTTGTGACAGCTGCAGTTGCAAGGTCAATCCCATGTAAAGCGTATGGAAGGTTCAATGTGATGATTGGAAAAGCGATCATTGCACTCCTGCGACAGAAAAAATGTTGAAGCAGTTGTTTGATTTCAGCAGAAGTTATGTTTCTTGACAAAAAAGAAATGGGGCGACTTTCTGATCAGCCCACCTACTCTCACGGCAAAGCCTACCCATGGCCCACATCCTTGTAGACCTTGAAGCCATTAGGAGGAATCCTTGACAATTTCCGTGTTGCAATTGCTCGGCTCTTCCTGACAAGGATTTCCTGTTCCTCTGTATTGTATCGCATGCCGCTCCAAACCCATACTCTTTGAACGTCAAAGTCCAGAGTCACCTCTGAGGGTTCCTCTGGAGGTAGGAAGCGATTCGACACACCGTTAGGGCCGGTTTGAGCTTGAGCTACAGATTGTCTCACGGCTGTCAAAGTGCACCTAGCACTGTCACCTCGCACTTCTGCAAAAGTCTCAACTTCATCTCGAGATGTGCCACCCGTTTTGAAGCCCATGGCCTTGTAGGAAAGTGTGCCATTTGGTGCCAATTCCAGCCATGTTACCGCTGGCAGGCACGCCAGGGAGAAGCTTCCCAAGGCCAAGGATTGGTCAAATTGCAAGTCGTAGGAGCTCTGTCCCAATGGCTGGGTACTTGCATCCTGCAGTGCGAAGACAAGTCTCTTGAGACCGTAGGACATAGCCTGAACTTCAACGATCATATCAGCACCAGTCACTACTCCCCGAACGATGTCTTGGAAGACTTGAACTTCACACTCCGCGGCCAGGATGGGAACATCCTCGTCATACACTGGAGTCCGGCCAGTGACTGCTCCAGTGCTTCCATTGAAAGTCAGGCCAAGGGTTGACAACTCGCAATCTCGATTGATCCTGTAGTACCAGCCCATATATGCAGTCGGTACTGCATTCACGGCTTGGTTTGTGGTCAAGGCCAGCACATTCAAAGGAAGTGTAGTAGGAGTAGCCACCACTGTGCCACCTCCACAAACACAGCAAGCATCAGTTGGCCTAAGTCCATGAGCACAATCGTAAGCAGACGACAGTGGAATGATATTGATATATATGGGCTTGTCCTAAAATGAGACCCGCAAGTGTTTGGCAATTTTACTGGAAAAATGATTTTAAAAAAGAATACCTGAGAAGGGGGGAACGAAAGCCAGCATCCCATCTATCCCTATGTTCCCCAATACTTTTCACCCAGAGACTCTTCACCCAGAAACCCTTCTTGCCCATACTTTTCACCCATGTACTTTTCACCTAGAGACTCTTCACCAAGAAACTCTTATTGCACAGACTTTTCACCCAGAAACCCTTCTGGCACATACTTTTCACCCATATACTTTTCACCCAGAGACTCTTCACCCAGAAACCCTTCTTGCACATACTTTTCACCCATGTACTTTTCACCTAGAGACTCTTCACCAAGAAACTCTTATTGCACAGACTTTTCACCCAGAAACCCTTCTGGCACATACTTTTCACCCATATACTTTTCACCCAGAGACTCTTCACCAAGAAACTCTTATTGCACATACTTTTCACCCATATACTTTTCACCCAGAGACTCTTCACCCAGAAACTCTTCTTGCACATGCTTTTCACCCATATACTTTTCACCCAGAGACTCTTCACCCAGAAACCCTTCTTGCACATACTTTTCACCCATATACTTTTCACCCAGAGACTCTTCACCCAGAAACTCTTATTGCACAGACTTTTCACCCAGAAACTCTTCTTGCACATACTTTTCACCCATATACTTTTCACCCACCCAGAGACTCTTCTTGCACATACTTTTCAACCATATACTTTTCACCCAAAGACTCTTCAAGAAACTCTTCTTGCACATGCTTTCACCCATATACTTTTCACCCAGAGACTCTTCACCCAGAAACCTACTTTTCACCAAGAGACTCTCTTCTTGCACATACTTTTCACCCATATACTTTTTACCCAGAGACTCTTCACCCAGAAACTCTTCTTGCACATACTTTTCACCCATATACTTTTCACCCAGAGACTCTTCACCCAGAAACTCTTCTTGCACATACTTTTCACCCATATACTTTTCACCCAGAAACTCTTCTTGCACATACTTTTCACCCATATACTTTTCACCCAGAGACTCTTCACCCAGAAACTCTTCTTGCACATACTTTTCACCCATATACTTTTCACCCATAGACTCTTCACCCAGAAACTCTTCTTGCACATACTTTTCACCCATATACTTTTCACCCAATAGACTCTTCACCCAGAAACTCTTACAAATACTTTTCACCCACATATTTTCACCCATAGACTCTTCACAAAGAAACTCTTCGTGCACATACTTTTCACCCATATACTTTTCACCCAGAGACTACACACCCACCCATATACTTTTCACAGACTTTTGACCCAGAGACTCTTCACCCAGAGACTCTTCACCCAGAAACTCTTCTTGCACATACTGTTCACCCATATACTTTTCACCCAGGGACTCTTCACCCAGAAACTCTTCTTGCACATAGTTTTCACCCATATACTTTTCACCCAGAGACTCTTCACCCAGAAACTCTTCTTGCACATACTTTTCACACATATACTTTTCACCCAGAGAATCTTTACCCAGAAACTCTTCTTGCACATATTTGTCACCCATATACTTTTAACCCAGTGACTCTTCTTGCACATACATTTCACCAATATACTTTTCACCCATAGACTCTTCACCCAGAAGCTCTTCTTGCACATACTTTTCGCCCATGTACTTTTCACCCAGAAACTCTTCTTGCACATACTTTTCACCCATAAACTTCTCACCCACAGAGTCTTCACCCAGAAATTCTTCTTGCACATACTTTTCACCAAGAAACTCTTCTTGCACATACTTTTAACCCATAGACCCTTCACCAAGAAACTCTTCGTGTACATACTTTTCACCCATATACTTTTCACCCATATACTTTTCACCCAGAGACTCTTCACCCAGAAACTCTTGCACATACTTTTCACCCATATACTTTGAACCCAGAGACTCTTCACCCAGAAACTCTTATTGCACAGACTCTTCACCCAGAAACTCTTCTTGCACGTGCGTTTCTCCAATATACTTTTCACCCAGAGACTCTTCACCCAGAAACTCTTCTGATAAATACTTTTCACCCACATATTTTCACCCATAGACTCTTCACCCAGAAACTCTTCTTGCACATACTTTTCACCCATATACTTTTCACCCAGAGACTCTTCACCCAGAAACTCTTCTTGCACATACATTTCACCCATATACGTTTCACCCAGAGATTCTTCACCCAGAAACTCTTCTTGCACAGACTTTTCACCCAGAGACTCTTCACCCAGAAACTCTTCTGCACATACTTTTCACCCATATACTTTTTACCCATAGACTTTTCACCCAGAGACTCTTCTTGGACATACTTTTCACCCATATACTTTTCACCCAGAGACTCTTCACCCAGAAACTCTTCTTGCACATACTTTTCACCAATATACTTTTCACCCAGAGACTCTTCACCTAGAAACTTTTCTTGCACATATTTTTCACCCATATACTTTCACCCAGAAACTTTTCTTGCACATACTTTTCACCCATATACTCTTCACCCAGAGACTCTTCACCCAGAAACTCTTCTTGCACATACTTTTCACCCATATACTTTTCACCCATAGACTCTTCACCCAGAAACTCTTCTCGCACATACTTTTCACCCATATACTTTTCACCCAAAGACTCTTCACCCAGAAACTCTTCTTGCACGTACATTTCACCCATTAACTTTTCACCCACAGACTCTTCACCCAGAAATTCTTCTTGCACATACTTTTCACCAAAATACTTTTCACCCAGAGACTCTTCTTGCACATACTTTTCAACCATATACTTTTCACCCAAAGACTCTTCACCCAGAAACTCTTCTTGCACATACTTTTCACCCATATACTTTTCACCCAGAGACTCTTCACCCAGAAACTCTTCTTGCACATACTTTTCACCCTTTTCATCCAGAGACTCTTCACCCAGAAACTCTTCTTGCACATACTTTTCACCCATATACTTTTCACACAGAGACTCTTCACCCAGAAACTCTTCTTGCACATACTTTTCACCCATATACTTTTCACCCATAGACTCTTCACCAAGAAACTCTTCGTGCACATACTTTTCACCCATATACTTTTCACCTAGAGACTCTTCACCCAGAAACTCTTCTTGCACATACTTTTCACCAATATACTTTTCACCCAGAGACTCTTCACCCAGAAACTCTTCTTGCACATACTTTTCACCCACATATTTTCACCCAGAGACTCTTCACCCAGAAACTCTTCTTGCACATATTTTTCACCCATATACTTTTCATCCAAAGACGCTTCACCCAGAAACTCTTCTTGCACATACTTTTCACCCATATACTTTTCAGCCATATACTTTTCATCCAGAGACTCTTCATCCAGAAACTCTTCTTGTACATAGTTTTCACCCAGAGACTCTTCACCCAGAAACTCTTCTTGCACAGACTCTTCACCCAGAGACTCTTTACCCGGAAACTCTTCTTGCACACACTTTTCACCCATATTCCTTTCACCAACAGACTCTTCACAAAGAAACTCTTCTTGCACATGCTTTTCACCCATATACTTTTCACCCATAGACTCTTCACCCAGAAACTCTTCTCGCACATACTTTTCACCCATATACTTTTCACCCAGAGACTCTTCTTGCACATACTTTTCAACCATATACTTTTCACCCAGAGACTCTTCACCCAGAAACTCTTCTTGCACAGACTTTTCACCAATATACTTTTCGCCCATAGACTCTTCACCCAGAAACTCTTCTTGCACATACTTTTCACCTGCCCATATACTTTTCACCCAGAGACTCTTCACCCAGAAACTCTTCTTGCACATATTTTTCACCCATATACTTTTCACCCAGGGACTCTTCACCCAGAAACTCTTCTTGCACAGACTTTTCACCCATATACTTGTCACCCAGAGACTCTTCACCCAAAAACTCTTTTTTGACATACTTTTCACCCATATACTTTTCACCCACAGACTCTTCACCCACATACTTTTCATCCAGAGACTCTTCACCCAAAAACTCTTCTTGCACATACTTTTCTTCCATATACTTTTCACCCAGAGACTCTTCACCCAGGAACTCTTCTCGCACATACTTTTCACCCATATACTTTTCACCCAGAAACTCTTCTTGCACATACTTTTCACCCATATACTTTTTACTCAGAGACTCTTCACCCAGAAACTCTTCTTGATTCTTCTTGCACAGACTTTTCACCGAGAGACTCTTCACCCAGGAACTCTTCTTGCACAGACTTTTTACCCATATAAATATATATACTTTTCACCCAAAGACTCTTCACCCAGAAACCGTTCTTGCACATACTTTTCACCCAATGTCCTTCTCTCTCCAATCTCCTCTAACTAGCTGGCCCATCTATCTGTCCATTGACTGAGCCCAGAAAACACAGAAAACCGGACCTAGGGGGAATCGATACCCACCGTCACTGTTTTGCCGCCTGGTACATTACCCTGCAAAACCATACTTTTTTCTCACTACAATCACCACCTATTTTCCCGATTTTTGTCCAATTTGGCAACTACCCCCCCCCAGACCCCCTATTCTCACTTCGTTCGCAAATAGCAACTAGCCGGCTTCCCAGCTGGCTTTCATAATAATAGTCAATGTGAATGGATTCTGATTCCACTTCTCCGCGTGTACTGCTTGAACAATATGAACGTTACCTTCAAGTTGTTCCCCAAGATCTCCGGTGAGCGGCACGCGACTTTTCCATCAAGGCGGGAGCGTAGGAAGTCTTGAGCCACGAGCGGCGTGTAGGCTCGTGATTGACATGAACACTAATGGACTGTTGCCTACGGTTCTTTCGCACCCCCCATGTCCGGTATCCTCAGGCCATGCCGACGTGCATTGGCCGAGGTACCGGGCACAGGAGTTGAAACATTTGAAAGACAGGCA